TTTGTTTTAATTTATTAATTTTTTGTTTTTTTTTCATATGTCAGATAATTCGTTTCCATGAGATGTTACGATTACCACCGAGCTAATTATTTTTTTATTAACTTTTAGCACAATTTAGTTTTTCCCATTTGTTTTTTATCTCTTTTTTTAAACCACATATGTGGATACGCACGAGTTGCTATGGTTTTTCTTTTCTTTTTCTTTTTACAAATTTTATTATACCTTTAAATTCAACCCGATGCTAAATCTAAGAAATATTAATATAAAAGTTATCAAAAGCAAAAAAATAGAAGAGTACTAGTATTGATTATTTCGAAATAAAATATTAAACAATATTTTCAAAATAAATAATAAAAAAAGAAAACAAAAAAATCATTTTATTCGTTTAAATATAAAAATACTCGAGATATTTTCTAATTAAAAAAAAATAATAATAGCAATAATTTTATTAAATTAGATATATAAAAAAGTCCGAGAGAAAAGATTTGGAATTAATTTTTAAATTAAAAATACGATCGTTCAATGCAGTATGTTTATATTTTATTTGACGTAATTCAAATATAAATTAGTACAATTTGTGATATTATTTATTAGCCAAGGAGAAATACCAAACTACCTACGTAAATGGATAAATACGTGGACACGATATATCAATGAAATAGAAAAGAAAATGCCCGAAGGATGCATACACGGATGGAAAAAGAGAGAAATAGAGAGAAAGAGAAAGAGAGAGAGAGAGAGATGGTTAGATGATGTGAGCTGTAGGAACTAGCTGTAAATTAACCACACATGATCGGTGCTCGGCTCGTCTCTTCTAAGCTCGTTCTATGGTCTTACCTTCCGATCCTGTCATCTCGAGGTACGTATATCTTCAAACGCGTGCACACTCGAATAAACTTAGAACAGAGAAAGAGTATGAAAGAGAAAGAGAGAGAGAAAAGACACAACACAACTCCCATGAAATTTCATTACAACCTTTACGTGTATAGATTTATGTACAATGCATCCACATAATATTTATGTTTGTGTGTGTTACCAATTCTCATACTCGTATCTCTTCATTTCATTTACTATCTCTCTCTCTCTCTCTTTCTTTCTTTCTCTCTTTCTCTTTTCCTTCCATTCTCTTTAAAAGGGACAATATATTCCTAGCTGTTAAAATCAAATAACTTCTATTGTAATTTTATATCAATAATTCTGATCATTTACACACACACACAAACGTGTATTTCTATTTATTTTAATCAGACCGTTCGACGCATGCACGATGAATATGTTGCTTATGCAAATTTAGTTTACATCGCACACATTGTGTGTCAATGAATAGTAAATTTCAAAGATACTTTAGAAATTGTTTTTTTTTTTTTAAATTGAATACTTTGAAAACAATTTGTTTATATTATTTTTAACAAATTATATATTCCATTTTTTTTGTTTTTTTATTAGATTTAAAATTTGTAAAAGCATTCGTGTAGATATATTCACGCATGATTATGAAATTAATTGGCATAGATATATACACCCATACTTTCAATGAAAGCCACAATTTGTGAAAATTATTGTTTATCTTATGCAGAATGGAATGTATTTGTTATTTTTTTTTTTTTTCAAACAATTTAAACTCACCCATACATTCATTTGTAATTGTTTTAAATAATTCGCGAAAATTATATTATCTACAGTTTGTAGATAGTAAATATACTTTAGTTATTATTTTCTTCTAAATAATTGAAGTAGAAAAATATATCGAAATATATTTTATTCCCTTACGGAAGAGAGGAGTAAATCGTAAAAAAAAAAACAAAAAACAAAAAACCAAAAAAAAAGTAAATTGCACGTAGAAAAGTACATGGAAAAGAAGGACACATGCAAAGACCATACGCAAAACAGTGTAAAATTCTAGCCCGAGTGCACTGTGGTTAATGTCCCGTTTGATTGGTCGCCGATAGGATAGTACGTGATCGCGGTGAAAGATCCGATCTGCAACGCACCAAGGATCAAGGCCAACGTCACCACTCTCCCGATCGATACATCTATAGATCCATAGATCTATAGATCCTTTCATCCTCTTATAATGCAAACGATTATTTCTTCCTTTTTTTTTCTCTCTCTCTCTCTTTCCAAAATGATTATCAATTCATTGATCATGTTTTTACAACTATTTCTTTAGAAATTCTTCAAATGTTTGTTCGCATGATTAAAAATATTTTTATTATGATTAAAATTAAGATAAGTAAGATTCTAACGATACTCGAGAAGCATAGCACATAATTAATAAATTCTCAATGAAATTAAATTTTTAAGAAGATCGAAGAATTTTCGATTCATCATTCGTATTTATTACAAAAATCAAGAAATATTTGAATACTATGATATTATGTGAATGCAATGAAATATTTTATCCGTGTAAATGTATAGAAATAATCGAGATATTTATCAAAGAATTATTCTATTCGATTCGATCTATACACGGTTAACATTCTTTTCTAAGAATTAATTTCGATAATTAGAAATACTTCAATGTACCCATTTTATCATATAAGTAGAAAATATAAAATACAATAAATACAAATAAATAAAGAGAGATAATCATCTCTAGATGAAAATTAATCTTAATACACAAAGAAGATTTACTCTAAACGTACTCTAACGAGGAAAATCAAAAATATATATATATATATATATAACATTTCCAAGATAGTCGTAAGAGATAAAATTAATTTTAATATACAACAAATTATATATAATATAACATATAATAATACAAAGAAGAAAGAGAGAAAGAGAGAGAGAAGATAGATAGATCCCAAGTAAGAGATCAGAAATTAAAATGATTATACTTAAAGATTAATCTCGTAAAAACGTTCATCACGCCTACGCGTGATTTCTCTTCCTTTCCTCTTTCCATATTTCTATTTTTTTCTTTCTTCTTTATATATAAAATATTTTTGTTTAAATTCTTGATCGTTTTTGCACGTTCTATCTTTTTCTCTCGTTAGTTAACGTTCCAACAAGAGGCAATAATACATCCAGCTATAATAATAACGCAAGTACGCGAATAATCTGGGATTGGCAACGCCCTCGCTCGCGCAAACCTTCTTCAAGTTTCGCGTAATCGATGCCTGATGAAGGAAAGGCTGCTAGCTAGCTTCGGAAAGGTAACTCTCTGAACAGATGAGAGAAATCTATCGTAACGGCATCATCGGCCCGTTGCCGATGCCAGGTAGGCAGGTATGCGGTAACGATTGTCCTTTTCTTCGGATCTAACGTCCAACACGATGAGGAACGAACTTGCCAGTATTTATTTTTCCTCTATTCGAACGGTACACAAGTTTTGTTTCGAGGTATTAGAAAATTATTTAAAAAAAAAAAAAAATTAAGAAAGAAAAAACAAGTGACTGACAGAATTATAGTCAGTATTTCACATTCTATTCTTATTAAAAAAGAAAAAAAAACTACCTACTAAATAAGATTATAAAATTGTTCAAAGAAATATAATTGAAGTAAGAAAATGAAAATTATAAATGAAAAGATGAATGAATTTCATTAATTTGTGTGATTAATAAAGTAGTTTAGTAAAGTAATTAGTAAAATATTTTAGTTGTTTCTATAAGTTTATTTGATTTTAGATTGAAATTATTACAAAAATATATATAATCGAAGTTAGAAAACAATTAATAAATATAATATTAAATGAAACAATATAAAATTATTTGACAAGAAATTAATTCCATTTAAAAGAAGTATAGAAATTACTTAAATAGCACAAACATAAGATTTGTTTTTTTATATTATGAAAAATTGTTAAAATATCCTATTGAGAGCTTATAATTATTCACAGTAATGGATATATACATATATATATATATATATATCTGGGATAGAAATAAGAAGAAATAAATAGTAAGTGAGAGGATGAATGAAATGAAATAAAAGAAAAAGTGAAAATTTCACCAAGTCAAGATGAAACATACAACTTCCCTCGTACAAGTTTCTAACAGGAAGATCCTATCAACTCGATATGATTCTTATCTTTACCAAAAGAAAAATAATTAAAATCATTTTCCATGTAATCCGTATAACATACATACATGGTCAATATAACCACGTGTGTATGCATGTATGTATATATGTATGTATAAACGTAGTCTTCGAATGAAGGGAAGATTGAATAGCTCTCTTTAACCGGATAATAGATTAACGAGATACACGAGTTTCATGGTTAGATGCATTTGCTTTTAATGGAGATTACGTATTTTTGATAAATTCCAGAATATCTTCTCAATCTCTCCTCTCATTCTCCTCCTGATCGATCGATTTATCCAAACGATTATTAAGTAAGATGATTATTATAGTTCACCCCCACGTTATTATTTTTTTACAGAAAAAAAAAAAAAAAAATATATTTATAAAAATGAAAAATAACAAATCGTTTTAGAGATCATTTTTATCTGTTACGTATTTGTTAGATAAATAAGTATAGATATATTACGTATTTTTTCATTAATTCTATAACACGATTACGCTTGCTCCAATAATTTACTTTAACTAAAAAACATGATAATAATAATATTTACAATTGAAAAAGATGGTAATCACAAAAAAGAAATCATTCGTCTTGTTCATTTCGTTTAAAAAAAACAAAAGTAAGAATGAAGATTACGTATTCGTATAATAAATTTCAAATTATCTTAAAACATTTTTAACACAATCCATTTTTCTCGAAAAGATTATACAGTAGAAAATAATTATATTAACTGCAATAATATTAAATTAGAGCGACAAAAAAAATCATAAACAGATCATTTATCAAATTTCCTATAACGAAAGAAAAAGTAAGAATCTATTTAAGAGTTGCATACAAGAACGATGCAATTTTCCTGACATTTAACGTTATTATAATTAAAATCTATATAACTGTGTTAACCACATTATCCAACTTAAATTATTATATAATATCAAATTATAAAATAGAAAATCAATAAAAAGAAATCACTTACAATCTGATCGTCCAGTCCATCTTAATTCCAGCGATGATCATCCTGCTTTTTCTTCCAATCTCTCTCTCTCTCTCTCTCTTTTTCTCTTTCTTTCTTCCTTGCTCTTGTTGATCAGTAAAGAAAGAAGATGATCTCTTCTATCCGTTCTCGATGTAACACGTCTTGTACCTTTTTTTGTCTCTCTCTCTGTTTTTTTTTCTTTTACTCTCTTTTTTTTCTTGGTTGTTTCGTTCACGAATCACAGAACACTTCTTCGGTGTAGAAAACGAAAGGTATATACTATTCAAGTATATAATCCGTGTATTCAACGTGTATATGTATACTTGTGTGTGCACGTGTGTGTGTGTGTGTGTGTTAATGTACGTATATATAAAAGTATTACTTGAGAATCTTATGCGTTTCCGCACACCACTTTTCCTTGCAGTCGAACGATTGCGTTATACTACTACTGTTACTATTAATACTACTACTACTACTATTATTATTACTTCTACTACTATTACTATTACTACTTTTATTATATAATATACTAGTACTACTTGTATTAAAATACTAGTATCTTACTTTGTATTCAAATACTAGTATACTACTAGTTTGTATATACGTGTGGTAGTATACTGCTGTTCAACGTTCTTCCGAGTGTTCTTCTACTTATGTTAGTTTTCTTCTTTTCGCCCACTAGCGCGTATCGGAGAGGATCCGGAAGTTTTGAAGTAGTATTATAGTTGTCGGTGATGGTGATGATGATATTACGGTAAAATAGAACGTTTATATATTTTTTATTTCTTTTTTTTTTCTTTTTTTTTTTTCTTATATTCTATCTTCTTCTATCACGTATAAATACAAAAAAGTATTCTTCATTATCCTTATTCTTTTGTTGTTGTTGTTGTTCTTCTTCTTTTACTTCTTCTTGTTTTTCTGATTTTATTTTTTAACTCTTTCTCTCTCTCTCTCTCTCTCTCTCTCTAAGTATCGTTTTCCTCAAAGCTCGATGGTAAGAATAATTGAATGAACCGATATGTTAGGGTTAATAATAACGTTATATTTAATCTTTAAGTTAGATTAGAAAAGTGGTTGTGAAAATTGGAGCAACAACGATCGAGTGTGCACGTTCCCCGATCGTCGTGAAACACTCTCTGCTGCGCTAAGATATTCGTTCTCGTAGCTGCTCGTCTTCCACGGCGTTCGCGAAAGGTGGGAAGAGATGAGTAGTGAAGTGGAGGAGGTGGAGGTGGATGTAGAAAGGTGGGGTGGTGGTAGAAAGGGTGGTGGTGGTGGTGGAGGTAGAGGAAAGCAAAAGAGGTGACTGTGACGAACACTATGACGAACAAGAAGAACAAGAATAAGAGGATGGTGATGATGGTGAAGGTGGTGATGATGGTTGGTGGTGATGGTGATGGTGATGGTGGTGGTGGTGGTGGTGGTGGTGGTGGTGGGTAAAAGTAGAAGTCCGCGAGAGGATGCTCACCGAGTGGAGCACTGCGTCGTAATGACATGCTCTAGGAGTCTCCACTCGGTTTTGTAATAACCACGGTAAAAAGTGAATTTCCCGCTTGGTGAAGAAGGGAAGTGGGGAAACGTTCTAAGGACCAATCGCAGGAACATCGAGCTTACTTACCTTGACCAATCGCAATCCTTCCTACACCGGAATACAACATACCGATATATTCTTCCTTTATTGGCAGCCGGATGCTGCCGCATCAGAAAACATTACTCTTATTATTTTTCATTTTTATATATATATTTATAATCTTTCATTTATCTTTTTTTTATTATTATTTTTTCCTTTTTCTATCTTTTTTTTATCAATAAATGATACATATTATTTTTTATTCGAATTTTTAAATATACATGATTCGGATATCAAATATTACAATTCTTCCCCACGCAATATTATATATTTATTATATAAACAAAAAATATCATATAAATAGTCTGATATGAATCTCTGATCAAAACAATTATGTTTTTATTTTCTTTTGTAAAAACGCAAACTATCATAAATTAGATTACTATCTGCGTTCATTATTTTCACGTTTCTTTTTTTATTTTTATTTTTTTGTTCAAACATTCAACTTCAGTATTACAGAATCAATTTATTATTTTGACCTAGTAAAAAATATATATATAAATAGAGAAACGTACAAATTATTTATAATATGTTTTAGTATTAAAAAGAAGATTAATAGAGAATATGTGGAATACGTTTTACGTTATTTCATTTATTTCATACGATGAATGTTCTCGATCCTATCGGCATAGGGCATTAGAGCGGAAAGTTAAGAAGAAAGAGAGAAGAGGATAAATAGAGTAACAGAAAAAAGATAGAAACAGATTGCGGATAGAAAGAAAGAGAGAAAGAGAGAGGGAGATAAAGATAGAAAGAAAGAAATACCTGGGAGGAAGGGAAAAGGGCCATTGTCTTTTCTTCAGGCTACTGACGCCACCGCTACGTCCTCGTCCTCGTCGTCGTTGTTGTTGTCGTTGTCGTCGTTGTCTTCTTTCTAGTATCATCCTACTCAAAAGAGAAAGAAAGAAAGAGAGAGAGAGAGAGAAAGACTACACTGTCGCTGTTCGCAAAACGTTTCCTACGAGATTCCGCTTCTTCGCACTCACCTAACGGCATCCTTCGCATCCTGCAGGGAAATTACCGAACTGCTTTTGCTCGCCCAAAGGAATCCGTTTGGTTTGTAAAGAAACAATGGGAAACTATGCGTGTTCTGACACGCGAACATATTTCTTTTTTTTTTTCTTTTCTTTTTTATTTTATTTTACGATCTTCCCCTTCTTTTTCAGTTATTTTCTTTCTTCCTTCTTCGTCCATCCATTTTTTTCTTTTAATGCAGTTTAGAAAAATAAATAATAAAGAAACAAAGTGAAATAGATTATGTCTTACTCGCGATTAGTACGCGATTATTTTGTGTATTAGTTTGATTGAAAGAAAATTGTTGAGTATTTAGGATGAAAATAAAGGATTAATAAGGAAGGATTAAAAGGAAGACTACCGTACATTTTTTCTTTCTTTTATTGTCTCCCAATATTAATTAAATATTTGCAATGAAAATAAAGGTGTACGAGAATGGGGGTACGTTATCACATTTTTTTTTTGATTTCACAATTCTCATCGTTCACCTTTACTTTCTTTTTATCATTATCCCTATTTTGTTATTACTAAACACTCATAAAAACAGTTCAATAAAAAAATGTTCGCGTAATCTCGATAATAAAAATATAATTTTGTTGCATATATTTCCGAGATGAATAAAATAATTTATATTAAAATTTTCTTTATATTAACTTATATTCATTTCTGTTAAATTTAAAAAAAAAAAAAACTGTGAACTCGTCAAAAAGTAGGTCGTTACATATGTGAACGTGTCTCTCGTAATAGATTATTATAAATGAGGATAAAAAATAATATTATTTGATATCTATATAATTTGTATACCAGATAATATGTGAAATAATTTTACTTGGAAGATATGAAATGTGGATACATTTATTCTACCCTGAGAGACCTTATTTAGAGTATATTATTTTCACGTTCAAATTATATATGTATATAATCTTATTCGAGTCTTAAGACATAGTATATAAACCTACATACGAGTATATTATACATAAATATAACATATATATATATATATATATAAAAATATATATAAATATATGTATATATATACACATATATACACATACACATAAATGATTGGTCTAATCGCGGAAACGAATCAGGCTCGAAGGCAAACATATCGTTATCTCTTATTGTAAGAGGCGTAATACCGGGGTGGTAAACACATATGAGTTATTTCAGGGAGAAATGAGAAAGAAAACGAGAGAGGGAGAGAGAGAGAGAGAGAGAGAAAGAGAGAAACATAGATGCAATTAACTGTGTCATACGAACGTCCCAGTGCTCTCGTAAATGTGCAATTAAATGAACTCTCTAATGAGCAACCATAAGGTAATTACACCGACACAGTATTTCAATTACACGCGCGTAAAATATTCTTTTCGTATTTGTTACATTTTACAATTAAATCTACGTAAGCAAGCATACACGTATATATAAACCTGCATTATTTTTATTTATTTATTAGAGAAATACCCCTGCATGATCTATTTTATTTTTATTCATTTATTTCGTTACTCTTTTTTCTAATTGATTAGTAAATAATCTTTTTGTATCTTTAATTTGTATTTTTTGTCTTTTTTAATATTAACCTAATTATTTGTTTTTGTACTTGTATTTTTTATTTTAGATTAGCATTAGAAATAATTGCGTAATTGAAGATAATTTTATTAGAAATCTTATTTTTGTTACTAGTCTACGAAATACGAAGATGGGTTGAAAAATTGTGTAAAATATAAAAAGAAAAATAAATAGAAATAAAATATAAAAATGAAGTGTGAACTTACAAAGTTAGGCTCCAAACTTGTCAATCCATCCGCGTATTAAAATAAGAAATAATAATTAAATTTAAACAAAATTTGATACATTTATATAATATATAAAATCATTGATCTAGAAAACATATTTCACATATTATATTAATATTAATTCAAAATAAAAATTACTACACATATACCGCTAAATAAAATGATTTAAGATAATTCGATTAATATAAATTTACGTATATGGTTTTAAATTTTATTTGTTGTTCAAAGTTGTTAAAATGATATCGATATAAAAGATGTTTCAAATAAATCCAGGGATAATTTTAAAACGTTCGCAATATCCTTTGAAAGTTTTAAACCGAACGCGAAGAGGATACGAGAGGAGTATCCAACTTCCTCAAGTTGGACTACTCGACAAAACGCATAGGGAAACGGCAAAAGTGCAACCCGTCGTTTGGCGAAGTTGCTTCCGCGAATATTCCGTGCTCTTGGATAACGGGAAAATCTATATTCCCAGTGGGAATTGACGAAATTGACGTTCGAGCAAGCGCGGTCAGAAGTACTATACCTAAAGTAGTAGTAGATTTGTCTGAATGTGTATATATATATATATATATATATGCATGAGTGTGTGTGTGTATGTGTGTTTGTGTTTACGTAGATCAAGTAAACTTCCGTGGAGGCGGCATCTTCCTTTTCTTCTTCTTTATCTTTTTCTTAGCAGTTTCGAGACTCACCGTTTGTTCTTTTTATACCACTGAACGAAAAAAAAAAAAAAAAGCAAAAAAATAAAAAAGAAAAATATTTGAGGGAAGAAACTCGCGCGAAGAAGAATAAGAAGAATAAGAAGAAGAAAAGAAAAAAAAAGGGGGAAAAAGAGGGAGGAAAAAGAAATATCGAAGGATCCTATGGTGGTTCCGGGTTTGATTCCCATGCTCGAAGAAACTCTCCTTGGACGCGAGGAAGCACCCAACTCCGATCTAGATTGAGAGAAAGAAGAAGGAGAAAGAGTTAGTGAGTGAGTGAGTAAGAAAGGGGTAGGGAGTTAGGGTGGTAGGGGGGAGAAAGAGAGAAACTGGGAGTCGGCTGGACTATCGAACACGAACTGGTAGCAATAAATTTATTACGAAAAAAAATCTTACGGGCAAGGGTCAAAGCGAGCCGAACAACTAGCCGAAGGGATTACTACTTCGAACTCTCTTATCGGATCCCTTTTCTTCAAAGGGAAAATAAGGGATCTTCGTCAAACGAATCACCCCCCGATTCGATTAACTTTCTTTACTTAATCGCAATATCGGTGTTTTTATTTTTATTTTTATTTACCAAATTTTTATAGGGT